ATGATTCCGTCTCTACCATTCCGTCTTTCCGAGTTACATTTGAGCTATTTATGTATTTTTTTGCACCATGGTTGCTGCATGTTGATAGCATTTCAAATGTTGTCATTTTGTTAAGAGTTTCATTTTTGGTTTTGCTATGGGATTAGCAAAATGTAAGTTTGGAGGTGTGATAAGTGCCAAAATATTGCATATTCAAGCATCTTTATTTGCATTAGTTAAGTCCATTAGTTGATTATACTGTATATATTAGCTTTATTTGCATGCTTTTGTCTATTTTCAGGTTGGTTCCCCAAAGAAAGTTAAAAGTGACGCTTTGATAAGTTTTTGAAGACCAAAGTACGCCGTTGCCAGGGACCGTCATTTTGGCTTGGCCAGCGATCCATTGAACTCATGAGTTTCGCTATATCATGCCTAGGAGGAGGACCACATCAACGAACCAAGCCAAAAGCAATCCAAGCATAATGAAGCAAGATTGTGAAACTGCAGGTGCCAGCTATAAACTCGCGGGCGCCCACCAAAAAGGGTAGTGCCCTCGTGAAGCCACGGGCACCAGCCAAGAACCCGTGGGAGCCTACCAAAATGGCTAACAAGTTCGTGTATGCGCGGCCGCCCGCCCTACGCCTGCGGGCACCCGCCGTTCTGCAGACAACAGCTCGTGGGTTCATTTGTTTCTCCCAATGTTATCCCTTTGTTTGAGGGGATAGGTCTGCACTCTCTCAAGGATTTTGGGCCACGAATTTAGAGTGGTTGAGAGGTCATTTTGTGTTAAATAGAAGGCTTGAGCTTGGTATAAGGGGATCTAACATTTTTGTAAGGTTCTAGAGAGAGAAATATTGAGTTCTTGAGTGTGTGGGTTGTTCTTGACCTTTAGGTGTGAAAATGGAAGGCTTCATCCTCTCTTTTCCTTCCTCATTTGCATCCATGGGTAACTAACTCCCTTTCTAGGGAGGTGATGAAGCCCTACTTTGTAAGCATGCTCTAGTTTTGATTTTAATTTGGGGAATATAATGTATATATGGTAGTTTCATGATTTAGAACACCATGTTTTTTGTAATGGATTTTAATGTCTATAAATGATCATTTTGAGTTGATTATCTTGTCTTAGATTGTTTCCTCTTTTGATCATATTGCTTATATTTTCATAGTGACAATGGAAATGAGATTGTGGAATGGTTTTAATGGCATGTTGTTAGAGAACCTTGATAGTCCATGGCTTAGGTCCTTCCTTTGATGGTCTATGCTTGATTTCTAACTTCATATGCTTTTATCATTTGATTAAGGGCTTGATAATCTCTAGCTTAGTGAGCATGTCTAAGGCTATACCCTAGTTTAGGTAGTTCAAGTATGTGAAACTTTGATAGGTTATTCTTGCCTTTTGATTTAATGAATTTCTTGAAGATAATATAGCAACAATGTGTTGCTACATATCATGACCACTATATATATTGTTTCCCCATGTTAATCACCATCTAGCATGTTAATAGGGTAGGTAGTGGATTCATTTCCCTAGTCCTCTCTACCTAAGTTTTTCTCTCTTAATTTCCTTGTAATTATTGTTTTATGCATTCTTTAATCCCTATTTCGCAGTGACAAACAAAACCAACTCTTATACCCCTCTTTTGTCAAACTAAGAGTGATTTTACAATCTTGGCTACCATAAACTAGCAATCCTAGTGGTTCGACTTACCTGTCCAATAGCCCTATTTTATAATGATTTGTTTTATTGCAAAGAATTGATTATTATTGATAGTCGACGAGACCGATCAAGCTCTGGGAGCAAAATTTGTCTGGAACATCTTTTTATTGGTGGTGCTCGATCCTTTCTTCATGGTGCTCGATCCTAAGGTGTTGGGCTCGAGCTTTGGGGCTATGAGCCCGAGCTTTAGGTATTAGTGCTCGATCCTTGAGGTTTGGGAGCTTGGAAATTAATTCCTTCAAATTCCGACGCTTTGTGCTTAAGCTTAAGGGTCAAGGCTCGAGCACCCTATGGTCAGGCTCGAGTACCTTTTATTCAGGCTCGAGCCTGAAAGTTCAAGGCTCGAGCTTCAATGCTTGGGCTCGAGCTTTGGATCCTGAATTCTTCTAAACTTCACCATTTAAGCTCTCAACTTGTTTTGAATGATCGACAATGACTCGATAAACTTCTTTATCATTCTTTTCATCATAAAAGCCCAGTTTTAACCATTTCTTTGGGAAAACACCTAAAAATATGAAATAAACATAAATCAGTATAAAACAGGATAGATATACCACTTTAGGTCTTAACATATGCGTATTTAGGGGCTCGAATATGCAATATTCAGCGCTCATCATTATGAGGTGGACACTTCCTAAGCAAGTCATTTAGGCACTCTCATGCCTCATGAAACAATTCCCCTTCCCATTAAGAAATTTCCCGAATTGAAGTTCTCAATTCATTGGTCTTTGAAACCAAATAGTACTTTTTCAAGAACTCTTATTGCATCTCCGTCTAAGAAGTTATCAAAAAAGGCGTTAGATTGTTGAACCAATATTTTGCTTTATCTTTAAGGGTAAAAGGAAAGAGTTTTAACCCCAAAACCTCTTTCGGTATGTCCGTGTATTTCACAGTGGAACACACTTCAAGAAACTCATCCAAATGCTTGTAAGGTTCTTCACTTGGAAGCCTATGGTAATTGGGAAGCATTTGAATAGTTTGTGGTTTAATTTCATAATGGTGTGCTCTAAATAGAGGTAATTGAATGCATGTAGGTGCATTGTACTCATTTAGCACATAATGATCTCTCAAAGCAAGAGGAGGATTCACAACCGGTGGTGCCACATGAGCACCATGATTGCCTTGAACAATAGGAGGTTGGGGTGGAACAAAAATTGGCCGAGGCATTCCCAATGGAACGTGGCCTTGTTGTTGTGGAATAAAGGGTTTTGGCATGCCTAATGATACTTGAATATTATCATGATGCACATTAGGGTGAAAAATACCTTGTTGGTCGATGTGACCAAGGTCCTCCATGTGGTCCTCATTATGTTCCTCCATTGATGAAATGGAGTAACAAGAATTACCCTTTCCCCTAGGATTATGAACAATGGATTCAAGATTCAAATTTAATGGGACAAAAGTAGGATTTAAAAACCTACGGCCATGCATGCACAATTAAAACAATAATAACTAGCAAATAGCACATAACAAGCACTTCTCCTCTGCAACAAATCAATCAACAAACCTCCACATACATTGATCCCATACTCCCATACTTTCAACAATATGCAAGAAAAATATATTGCCTCCACACGGGCCGACGATCTATCTAAGAAAAATAAAAAATTGCCACCATGCGGGCTAACAATTTAACTAAGGAGAGAGTTAGAAAAGCTCACAAAGGGTCCTTAAGCAACTTCAAGTTATTTTTCAATTTTTCCTTTGCCTTGCTTTGCTTTGCAAATTTTTTATTTTTAGCTTTTTATGTTTTTGCTTAGCTTAGCCTGCTTCTTTTGCTTTAGAATTTCCCTTTACTTCACTCCCTTGGCTCAATGCACCTAGCCAATCCAGAAACACAATAAGTAACCAAAATAAAATAAAAATAAAAATAAAAACAAGATCAAAAGAGTACTAATTCTTAATTGATTTCCAAAATACGACGTTACCAAATCCCCAGCAATGATGCCAAAACTTGGTGTGGTCAATACCTAGTTGCACAAAAGTGGTGAAATAATGTGGCCAAGTTTGAATTTATATAATGCCACTACCACTACTAACTATTAATGTAGTTAGAGTAAGTAGAGATCGTCCCAAGGGAAATAGAGTGTATTTTTGTTTGGAAATCAATGTTGGATTAGTAGGTCGAATGATCAAAAGATGGTTTGATTGATTAATTAAATTAAGATTCAATTCAAACAATGCAAGTAAGTAACAATTTAGAAATTAGAGAAAGATATAGGAGAGAGAGGTTTTGGGGCTTAGAATTCACCACTAAGCTTCACTTCACCAAACACTAGCAATTGTAAATTAATGGGAAAATTTAAGTTGTAACTTGTATGTGTGTGCCACTAATTAAAAACTAAGCATGGATGATAAATAAGTATAGATTGTCTAATCATTCTAGTGAGTAGTACAAATTATCATATGAGACCATTAACCATTCACAGTCCACATGCTCTTAGTCTTGATTAGATACAAAGTTGAGTGCAATTGATTAGTCTTGATTATATAAACTCGTAGTACGAGAAATAAATACTATATAATAAGAATTTGGAGGACAAACAATACGAGTTCTAGCCTAATTCAATATTTGTATAATAGAGGCACAGATCTTCCAATAAGAGAGTAATTTTTACGATATTGTGTATTATTCATTATATTTTAAGTTTTGAACAAATTTTTGCACGTACACACACCAAATATTTTCTATAAAGGACTTGGAGAGAATATGCTAGTGGGTTTAAATTTTAGTGGTTAAAAAAATAAAAAAATAAAAAATTGGTACCGAGGTGTTACAAATTTTTATTTATTTTTTTGAAAATAAAATAAAAAATAAATTAATATTGAACAAGATAAAAGAAGATAAAGGACACGTGCAACTTCTGATTTAAAAAAAAAGGCACGTGCAATAACACATCGTACGTAAGGTTAAAAAAAAAAAAAAAAAGAGAAAAGAAGGAGGAAGAGGAGGTACAAGTACACACAAAAAAAAAAAAAAAAAAAAAAAAAAAAAAAAAAAAGAAAGAAGGTACAAGTACACGTTATTAGGAATATAAATAGACTTAAAACGAAATCCAATTTTGGAAGCTTCTGTTACAGGTGTTGTATCTCTCTCCTCTCTTTCTCTTCGGAAAGATGCAGAGTAACACGCTTTCATTCTCCAATAATTTTAAATTCAATGTGTGTATAATATAATGTTGTATATAATATTATTCCGACCGTTGTTTGTTTCGGTTGTTGGTGAAAGAAAAGGGAAGAGGGGGGGGAGGGGGGGAGAGAGAGACAGAGTCAGAAAAGGGAGAGCGAAAATAAAGCCAAAGAAATGGCTGGTTCGCATCCCTTCGCCGGAATTTTTATTTTCTTGGCGTTTTCCGCCTTGGTGCTGCCCAAGGCGGTGGTGCTCTGTGAATTTCCGGCGACTCTGACTCTCTCAAGAGCTTTTCCGGCTAATCAGAGAGTCGAAGAACTGAGTCAACTCAGAGCTCGTGACATGTTAAGGCACGGTCGAATTTTGCAGTCTTCAGGTCGTATCGCGGAATTCTCCCTCCTGGGCACCTACAGTCCCTTCCTTGTTGGGTAATCCTATCAATTTCCGTTTTACATATATATGTATATATAGACACACACATATATATATATACATTGAATTATGGGTATCAGGGTATCTAATCTTCTTCTTATTCATTGTTCCATGCAATCAGGAAATGGTTGATAATTTTACCTGTTTTATTCTGTTATCAATATGTTTTAATTTTATGTTATATTATTCTAATTTTTCTTCACGTTTTGTGTCCTTTTCAAATTAACTACTCTTCTGCAAAATAAATAAATAAATAATAATAATAATAATAATAATAAATTAGCCACTCGTATCATGTTCTCTTTTTGCCTAATGTTATAGGTCTTCACTTTTTTCCTTTTTTTTTTTTTTTTTGGTAAGGTCCGTTTGCTTTCTTTTTCTTTCCTTTTATTATTATTTTTTAATAATTTTTTTGCCCAATTATTCATGTAGCAAAATTATAAGGGGCACATTATATGGAATACAAGCAAAAGACGCCAAAAAAAAAAAAAAAAAAAAAAAAAAAAACGAAGAAGAAAAGGCAAAAACATAATCCATAGAAAACAGAGAAAACAAAAGCCACCTAGATCGCATTTCAAAAAAAAAAAAAAAAAAAAAAAAAAAAAAAAAAAAAAAAAAGCCACCTAGATCTCAGAATGAAACACTAGAAAAAGGAGAAAATGAATAGGCTAATTGTTATTGGAGGAGATATATCAAATCCGGTCGCCTATGATTATGATTTCTCATATTTAATGAATAATCTAAAGATTCCCTTGATATTTGGAATCATAATCTCTGAATTGTTGCTCAATTCAATTGAATGTAAACTTGTATATATACACTTTGAAAGTAATCTCGATAGGAGGCTAAAACTCACACACTTGTTTATTCCTACCGGATTCAAACCTTCACTTTTTACTTTGAGAGGTAAATGAGATACTTGTTTTACCCCTCTTTGTTACTTCAAGAGTCTATATATAATGCTAGATATAGTGTTTTGTTAATTTATTTATTTTTTATTTTTTTAAGATGAATTAATGAGCTTCTATGAATGGTGTTTTGCTCCTTTTTAGATTATGTTATATTTATTTATTTTTAGAAAGGGTATCTATCCTCTTGATGTTCAATACATAATGCTCTTTGATCATATTTTTCAAATTAGAACTAATGGTTTTGCTTTAGGCTTTATTACACAAAAGTTCAATTGGGATCTCCTCCAAAAGAATTCCATGTTCAGATTGACACTGGAAGTGATGCCTTGTGGGTCAACTGCAATGCCTGCAACAGTTGCCCCATATCTAGTGGACTCAAAGTAAAACAACTTCTCCTTAGCTATTATAGTCCTGTGCTTTCTTTCAATATTGTCAGGCTCGTAGAATGGAAGTGTTACAATTTTCATTTCTTGTGTCTTTTTTTTTTTTTTTTTTGGTCAGATTCCAATCAATTCCTTCAACCCTTCAAGCTCGTCTACAGCATCAGTAATCTCCTGTTTTGACAAAAGATGTGCTCTTGGAGCTCAATCCTCAGACGCTGGCTGTTCTAAGAAAAAGGATCGGTGCAATTACTCATTCCAGTTTGGAGATGGCAGTGGGACATTGGGTTATTATGTATCAGATGAGCTGCATTTCAACACAGTTGCTGGGAATTCTTCGACTTCAAATTCTTCGACTTCCATTCTCTTTGGGTGAACTATCATGAATCTGTTAAGTTAAAATGGTGTTTGGCGCCTTTTATTTTTTTTAACCTGTCATTGCTTGTCTGTTGGATTAATTACGGTAATTCCTGCTGAACTAGATAACTTATCTGCTCAGACCCATCTTAAACTTATTAGATCATTTGAGTTAACAATGCTTTAAGTCATCTTTTATTGTGTGGAAAATGTTGACAGTTCCATAAGTGTAATAACTGAAAGTGAGAGAATGAGTTACCAGATCATGGTGTAATAACAAATATAATCCAAATACGAAGTCTGAACAGATTAGGATTTTGTCTTTGATAACTGACATACAATTTTCAGGGAAAAAAATAAAACAAAACTAGTTGGAAAACATAGGTAATATCCCACAATTGGAATTCCCTTGTGAAAATGTCAACTCATAAGACATTAAACTAAGTTTTGGCTTTAAAGTCTGGTCTGTGGACCATAAACTATCATGTTCCCTCAGCAGGTAATTAGTTTCTTCCACTATACTTGTTTACTCGCTCCATAAGCTAGCTGCCTCTGATTTTCTTGATGTAAGGATTAAACAAGCAGGGATATATGGATTTGTAGGGACTTTAAAGGCGTGAGTTACAGTTGGCATGCCTTTACTTGGGCCAGAATAGCTGCCTTGTTCCTAGACTTGAGGCCTCGTTATAGTATTCACTTGGTAGATCGCCATGTTACCTTTGTGTAAATCACTAGGTGGTTATGTTATTATGTTAGTCCATTTGATGGTTGCTTTGGTGTGTAGACTATTTTCTGATCTTAAATAAACATTTCCCTAGGCATATATTTTGGTAGGATTGTATAACTTATCATGCTTACTTGATAAGGACTCAAATCTGTATATTTTGATTGAAAAAATAATTAAAAACTTTGATGGATCATATATTGATTGATCAAGCAAATCCATAAGTCAGAATATGGTTTGACAATTATAATTTTACTTGTACTTAAAATATTATATATAAGCTGGAAAACAAAGGAAAAATTGGAAATATTTATGCTGATGTTGGATGAACTAGTGTTGAACTGTCGAACTAATGATGCCTTTTGTAGTTAAACCCTTATTGTTTTTTATTTCTTGAACCTTGTAGTGAATTCACTAATTTCAAAATATTGCTTAAAAAAATTGCTGATTTTATCAATAGTTAGTATAAATACTTTATTTGCTTCATTACAAGTCTTGATGGGCTCATGCAGTTATGCATTACGATCTCCCATCCACCCCTCCCACCCCCCAATCATCTCCCATCCACACATCCTTTTCCAACTGTTAGAATGTAATTATGTATATTTATGGGTATTCTATAATTCTCTATAATATGTGAGGCCAAAGTGTAAATAGAGGATTCTTCCTCTTATATAATCACCTTATGTATTAGGGCTTGAGACAAAAAATAAGAAAATGAATTTGTAGCCTACATCGTTCTGTCTCTTCCTCTTCAGTTTCCACATGGTATCAGAGCTTTTCTCCTGTTGTTAAGATCTCTTCTATCCGAGTCCTCATCTCCATTGCTGCCAATTGTAACTGGCCGTTGTTTCAATTAGATGTGAAAAATACCTTCTTACATGGTGACTTAACTGAAGAAGTTTATATAGAGCAACCACCTAGGTTTGTTGCTCAGGGGGAGTATTGTTATACCGTTTGTCGCCTTAGGAAGGCCTTGAATGGATTGAAACAATCTCCAAGAGCTTGGTTTGGAAAATTCTCTGAGGCAGCATTAGCATTTGGTCTTAACAGATGCCAGACAGATCACTTAGTATTTCACCAGCACACCAAAGCTGGTTTCATTCTTCTTGTGGTGTATGTGGATGATATTGTGATTACAGGCAATGACTCTGAAGGCATTGCTAAGTTGAAATTGTTTCTGCAAAATCGGTTTCACACTAAGGACTTGGGTAAACTTAGATATTTATTGGGTATTGAAGTTGCTAGATCTAAGAAAGGTATAAGTTTGTCTCAAAGGAAATATGTGCTGGACTTATTAGAAGAAACAGGTATGTTAGGTGGTCATCCCGCTGATGCTCCCATGGATCCAAATATAAAACTCTTGTCTGATAAGGGTGATATATTTGATGAGCCTGGTAGATATCAATGTTTAGTTGGGAAATTAATTTATTTCACTATTACCCAACCTGACATTTTATATGCAGTTAGTGTCGTAAGTCAGTTCATGGAAGCTCCTAGAGTACCACATTGGAATGTTGTCCTACGAATTATTTGATAGCTCAAGCAAGCTCCAAGGTTTGGGTTAATATATAAATCGAATGGTCATCTCAGTGTCGAAGGTTTTACAGATGCTAACTAGGCTGGATCCTCCTCAGATAGGAGGTCTACTACAGGTTTTTGCACATTTGTAGGAGGAATCCTGTTACATGGAGAAGTAAGAAACAAACAGTGGTAGCTCAATCTAATGTCGACTCAGAATATAGGGTAATGGCTCATACCACTAGTGAGTTAACAGGAATACAACATTTTTTGGAGGAACTTGGGTTGACAGTCAAATCCCCTATTCCATTGTTCTGTGATAATCAAGCAGCCATTCACATTGCATCTAATCTTGTGTTCCATGAGAGGACCAAGCATATTGAAGTTGATTGTCACTTCATTCGAGAGAAGATACTGATTGGGAATATCACTACTCCATTTGTGAAGTCTGAAGACCAACTAGCTGATATGTTTAATAAAGCTCTAGGTCATCACAGGTTGAAGATTATTTGTTCCAAGCTAGGATTATATGATATCTATTCTCGAGCTTAAGGGGTAGTGTTAGAATGTAATTATGTATATTCAGGGGTATTCTGTAATTCTCTATAATATGTGAGGCCAGTGTGTAAATAGAGGATTCTTCCTCTTATATAAGCACCTTATGTATTAGGGCTTTAGACAGAAAATAAGAAAATGAATTTGTAGCCTCCATCGTTCTCTCTCTTCCTCTTCAGTTTCTACACCAACCAATAATAAAAATAACCAAAATTTCCCTCACTACTACAAAGCTTTGCCATGTCTTGTTATAAATTGGTGATATATAGTTGATCTTTCCATTTAGGCTGTATTCGGCTACATAGAATTGAAGCCTTGGAATTAGAATTGGTGGAAATGGAGAAAAGCGACTCAGAAAATTGAACCAAAATTTTCTCAAATTCCAATGCTACAATTCCATGCAGCTGACCACCCCCTTAGAGTACATATCATGACATTACAATGTGTTTTAATGAGCTACAAGCTTGCGAGTTGGTGACAACTATCCTGGATTTAATAATTTGTGTTCTTTTGCTGAAAGTCCCGAGTTTCCCAATTCCACTAGGAAAACTATAGAATATGCAGATCGACTTGAATTATCTACCGAAACTAAGTGTAGCTCAACCCATCAATTTTAAGCATGATCCATCTAAGTAGCAACAATTGTAGCACACATCAATCTAGAGAATCATGGAATTTGCAATAATAAGCCATGGAATATCTAAGCAAGCATAGATTGTTTACCTACCTACAAGCATGAATTAAATTGTAGAATAACCCATCAAGTATAAGTATAAACCATCAAATTAATTGACAAACCTATTAAATGAAAACCCATATCTAGCCATCACTAGATTTTCAACCAACCATACATAGACATGCAATTAATATAGAAAAACTAGTGTAGAGATTAATTCCCCAAATAATCACACATAAGACAACATGTAATTAAAATAGAGAATCAATAGAAAGAATTAATCCATATGAATCATGTAAGAAATAATTCCTAATTTAATCACACATAGACATGTAAATAAACTAGAGAATTAATAGGAATAAATAAACCATGGAAATCATAAAAATATACCAAGATTCATGAAATTCACAAGGTTAGAACACTAATCACAACAATATATATAAATCCCCAAAAATAGAAATACAAGGGTTTAGATTACACAAGACTTAGGACTCATCTAAACCCCAAGTGTAGATCTAGCCAATCGTGGAGGAGGTGGATATGGTCATGGAATCAAGCTCCAAATATGGCTCCATCTTCTTCTTCTTCTTCTTCTTCTTCTTCTTTGAAGCTCTAGAGATAGAGAGAGAGAGTGGTCTAGAGATGGATCTTGAGATGTGCCTCCACTTCCCTCTTTTCTTCTAATCCTAATTTCTAACTTTTCTAGAGAGAGAAATTAAAATTACAATGTAAAAGTAAAATAATAAAAAACTTCTTTACAAATGGGTCACTTCCCTTTATATAGAAGGTCCTTTTCTTAGTCACTAAGTCAAGAATATAGCCCCAAAAATATCTAATCCCGTACTATGTGATAGGTGGACTTTTGGGCGCGCACGGAATAAGACAGCTCTCTGCCAGCAATGTTCGATCGATCCAACTTTGATTTTCGATCGATCCAACTTTCAGCAAAAGTTTGATCGATCCAACTTTGATTTTCGATCGATCTAACTTTGATCGATCTCACTTTTCTGATCGATCTCACGATCAATCTCACTTGGCAGCTTTTCAGCATCACCCTCTTTTTGCTCCAAATCAGCCTCCTTTTGCTCCGGATTCTCACCAAGACTTAGTTTGACTCCAAAAAGGCCTTAAGAAACCATTTTTAGCCCATTTTAGCTTTATTGACCTAAAAAGGAAAATAATAAAAAATTAGTCTAAAACGGGAAAATAAGATAGATAAAGGTCCTAGAATACTCAAGTTTAAGGGATTTAAAAGTGCACTTTTCAGCGCTCATCACACCCCCAAACTTAAATATTGCTAGTCCCTAACAATAAACTACAAAGTAAATAAATGAAATGAACAACTAAACAACTACAAACTAGAAAGCAATAAAAGGATACCGCCACTTTCGTAGAGAACACGATTGCACGTAGCACATGCAACAAGCCTTTTAAACCCCTAGGTTACCCCTAATGGACAAGTGAAGTCTCGTGAGGGTTTCCAGAAATGATACCCACAAACATTAAGCTCATTCTCACAAAAGAGATACCAATATTTTAAACAAGCATTGGGAGAAAACTACCTCAAGTATGCAATTTTTCAAACATTTCCAAGCAATTCTCCCAAAATCTCAACATCAAGTAAGTAAATATGGTCCTCCACACATCAAGAAAATGATCATGCAAATCAAAACAACTTTAGAATCCTTTTGAGTGGACCGGTATCAAATATGTTGCTATCTAAGCCAACTAAAGAATTAATCGCATCCTTACCCTCAAACTAGCACACAAATCTAGTACCAATCATCAAGACAAAAAGTTGACCTTTTATTAAAGCTTTATTGTTCTAGGTGTACTTATTCTTTTCACTCGATTTTTTTTTTTTTTTTTAGGATCAAAGATGGAAGCATGGTGCAATGTATTGATCTATGAAGCTTTCTAGCGATTCATGAGGTCGAGCGTTAGGTCAATGACTCCCAAACCAGACGGCTTTAGGGCAATAGGCGTTCAAATACCCCTACGGACTTACAAGCTCAAATCAACTAGGCTACAAATCAAGACAACCTCCATCTAATCATTTCCTACTTCTCACCATTTGGGAGAAGTCCTCACTTTTTTTTTTTTTTTGTAAGCAAGTTCAATTATTAACCTAGAGTTTGGGCCATCCACCTTTCGGCGCGAATCCCGGCTACTTAGTGAAAAGGGGTTGTTATCCACTTTTATCAAGAATGAAAGTTTTCAATGCACTACTAGGCCAATTGGGATATAACCAATTCAATAATCAACAAAGCATGTACCCCACAAATGAATGCTAGTGTGCGCCTGTGCTAGTGTAGAATCCTAGAGTGAATCTCAAAACAATCACAAAATCAAAATGATGTGGACCACAAAGACAAGCAAGATATCAATCTTTCGAAAAATTTACTCCTAAATGGCATCCATAAGGCATACAAGGAGTATTGGACTCTCAAGTCAAGCAATTTTTAAATTTTAAGCAATATAGTCCTCAAAAGATTAAAATCATAGCTAACATGGATCTCAAATCTCAATTATACATTTAAAGCTCAACTTTAAGTAGAATGCAACAAGACACCTTACCCCCAAACTTAAACTGCACACTGTTCTCAATGTGCAATGAGAACAATGGAAAAGATGGAAAGAATATACCATGGTGGCAAAAGCATGAAGCCTGGCAATGATCCAATTCGAAAGACGTCTCCCCCAAACTTGGAATCAACCACCTACTTGAATAATCACACTAGCAAACTCACATCAAATATCAAATGGGATAAGAATAATCAAATCATATAATCTAAGACAATATAGCACAAGACGAAAGAGAGATATGGGATCAAGCCCTAATTAAAGCATGAATACACACAAGGGCACAATGGTGAAACTTTTTTTTTTTTTTTAATATTTTCATTTAATGAAAACAAGTATATATAAAATGCAAAAAAAAACAAAAAATAAAATGCATGAACAAAATACAAAAAGAAAAATAAAGAAGTTAAAATGTAATGAAAGAATATGTACAATGCAAGAAATGAAAAACAATATGTACAATGCAAACATATTCAAAATTTCCTTACTTTTTGTTTTTCATTCATTTTTTTTTTTTTTTATGACATAACAAGTATGTACACACACACAAAAATAAAACAAATAAACATGGAAGGAATGAAAATGCAAGGAAATAAGAGATACAAAAAATTTTTATTAAAATTTTTTTATTTTTATTTTTTTGAAAGTATATATAATAAAACAAAATAGAAGAAAAATAAAGAAATAAAAATGCAAACGAACATAAACTATACAAGAAATAAAAGACACAATGTGTCATGTGGGTGCTAAATTTAACGTCTCTAGCAAGACGGAATGCTACATTGAAAAACCGTCTTTCTCTTCTTCTTTTTTAAATTAAAAATGAAAAATTGAAAATATTTTTGAATTTTTAAAAGATAAAACAAAATAAAGAAAAGAAAATATTTTTGGAGTTATATATATATATATATAAATTTATTATTATTATTATTATTATTTTAATTTTTTTTTTGTTTTTGAAAAATAAAATAACTAAAATAAACTAAATAAAATAAAAGAAATATTTTTGGGATTTTTGAAATATAAACAAAAATAAAAATAAAAGTAAAAGTAAAAATAAATTTTCAAAACCTGCAGACATGTTCGATCAATTTGACAAAATGCTCGATCAATTTGATAGAGAGGTGAAATATGCAGGTTTTCTGTGTTCAAAATTTTACTAAGTGTTGGAACTTAAGATCGATCCAATGATGAAGTTAGATAGATCCAATGATGAAGTTGGATCGATTGAAGAACTTCATATCAATCTTGAAATATTTTTGATCGATGGGACATAGAGCTGAAATATGCAGGTTTATGCAGGCTCAAAATTTTTCTAAGCGTGGGAACTCAAGATCAATCGAACTTGGAGTTTAGATCGATCGAAGGTCTTCTGATCGATCTAACAGAGAACTGAGATCTGAAGATTTTCTTGGATTGATGAGATAGAGAGTGATTTGGATGCAGGTTTGCTACATGAATGAAGTTCGATCGATCGAACTCTCATTTGAGATCGATCGAACTTATGCAAAATGCTCAATTTCAACATGAAAGCTCATGCAATCCTAACCACAGTTCCTAGCAATGCATATGAACCCAAAACAAATATCTAGACGTCGCAAGAAATGAAATTTAAAATAGAAATGAGGGAGGAATAAAGTTTTGAAACTCTACGAATACTAGTGTTTAATGTCTCTGGCAAGA